CGAAAGAGACGTATGGCCGTGACATTTCGGCTAAGTGCCATTCGCAGCAAGGCAAGAACGTGTACGACATCACGATTCAGGTAAAGGAACGATTGAATGCAGTTTCATTTGATAACGGCTGCTAAATAATTGCAGCAAATGTTCTATGATTTATTTCTTTTTATGCAGCTGAATCCCGTGTCGCGCGAGATCGTCGACAGCACTTGCAACTGCCGCTACGGCGCCCGCGGCGACTGTAAACACGCCGCCGCGGTCGCCTTGTTCGTCAGCGAGGATGAAATTGCGACGTGCACGAGTCTTCCTCAAGCTTGGGGAAAGCCGTTGGGAAAGCCAACACTGAAGGACAAGGCTCCCATCAGTGAACTTTTTGGAGGTGTGTTCTTAGCAGTGGCGTAGCCAGGAACATAAACCGCATGTAAGCGATTTGGCGAGCGACGCGACGGCGGCGAGGACCCGCTTTCGCTCGGCATGAAAGCGACTGGAGGAAGTGACCAATGCGATAAGCGGCGTTTTCTAGAAATTCAAAAATCAAGCGGCGCGACGAGCGGCAGTGAAAAATCTCCGTCGCTCGTCGCTGACTCTCATCACTTGTTGAGGTCGCTCGTCGCTCGCTAAATTGCTTACATGCCCCCCCCCCCCCCCCCCCCGTCTACAATTTGGGGGAGGGGGGAAGGGGGGCTGCAGCCCCCCAAAGACCCCTCCCCTGGTTCTTAGCGTGACTCGCTTGCGTGTTTGAACTAAATGCATTCGATGTCTGCTTCACCACTCGACCTCTTGCCTTTCAGAAGACCGGGTGTTTGCTGGAGGGAGGCCACCAGCTCGTTTCCCGCCAGCTTATATTATAAGCCACTTCGACGGCATAAACTCACCGTTCACAAATGTGCTAAAACAGATGAACAGGTGCCAAGTGGACCTGGGGTGCGAGAGATTACTTCAGGACATGGTGGGTGCAGCCGTTGGGATAGTGGAGGAACTGACCGTGCTGGAGCTTCTCCCAAGTGCAGAGATGCCAGCGTACCATACCCTAGAGGTGACCGGGACATATCCCGTACTTCGGGTGGCCCCGAAAGACCACTCGGCGCACATGAGTCGACTGGAGGCCTCGTTTTTTTATAATAATGTTGTCTGCTCCAGCCCCCTGAGCTTGTGTATGGCCACACTGCAGCAGTCGAAGTGTGCTAGGTAAGGTCTTTTAGTGTCTTCAATGATTTTTTTTCTTTGCTATAGCAGGCATAAGGCAACTCAATTGTTATTTACACTCCAAGCCATAAGAAGCCTGCAACAAATCCTTATCTTTTGCAATTCTAATAAAAATGCATTTCACACCTCTACAGGTGGTACAAGGAGCGGAAAGTGCGAATCACGAGCTCCATGGCGCACACCATTTTGAGATCCAGGAAGACCCCCGAGGGCCTCTCCAAGAGCCTGCTTGGTGCAAAATGGTTTTCATGTGATGCTACACGTTATGGCAAGTTATATTCCAATTTCAATAGGAGTGCTCTGAACTTTTAAGACCTGATTCTACCAACATTTCCCATGCAGGCTTGCGGACCGAGCCAGTGGCGAGGAGTGCATTTGAAGTGAAAGTCGGGGCCCGTGTTGTGGAGGTACGGCATTTATATATAGTCTTTGAGTATATGACCACAAGTTTGGAAGTGTCAATAGCCTACAAATGCAAGGCGGCTTGCTAAACAATATGTGACTTTTGTGGCACCATTGTATGATAATTCTAATCTCCTAATTGTTTGATAGATGTGATAAATGCTCTGTGTCCATTCTAGGTGGGGCTGCTTGTGCACAACCAGCAGCCATGGCTGTGTGGCAGCCCTGATGGCCTTTTTGCGACCGGTGAAGGAACCATTCTCCTTGAGATCAAGTGTCCGCACTCCATCAAAGACTCTGCGGTCATAGATTCAACCGCTGAAATTACCTTCGTGAAGTACCTCGTGTACGAAGAGGGTAGGCTGTGTTTACGGCGCACTCACAAGTACTATACTCAAATTCAAGTCCTCATGTACGTCCTTAACCTGGGAGAGTGCTTTTTCTTTGTGTACACGAGTGTGGACAGTGTAATTGTTGCTGTGGAGAGAGACAATGTTTTCTTGGAGACAGCCATCCGGCACTTGGAAGGCTTCTTTTTTTCTCATTACTTGCCAGCAATTGTTAAGAAGTACTGTACATAATCTTCCCCATCTCCAAGTGTGTTTGTAGTTGTTTTTTATCACGTGTAACATCAACTTGGAAGCGAGTCGTTTTTATAGTCATTTGCTGAAAAGGCGGGACATTTTTTTCAATAAAGAGTGCCATCTTGCATGTAGAGGAGTATTAACCCGTGTTACTTATTTGTACTTAAAATAGGATAGATAAGAGTTTTCTTGTATTGCTTGTCATGAAATAAGCTCATGCCATTCTTTTGAGAAGCCCTTTTATTCTTAGTATTGCAAAAACAAATACAAATAAACAAACTTTGGTGGCAACTACCAGGTCTATTTCAATGACTCGAAACAAAATATCAGATGTAGTTTGTTAGTGCATTCAATTCCTGGCCTATAAATGTTTTCCGTTTCTTGTGGTTACGTGGGTTCCATATCTGCTTGGTGGAACGAAAAAATGGCACATTTCAAGCTGGAATATGCGAGAAAATATAGGTGAGGCAAAACAAGGAGTAACAATCATGCATTTTTTGTAAACAACTTCCAGCGGTGCGGAGAGATCAAAACAATGTTTCACCGCATACCAGAAGTGACGCCATTCAAGACGGCTGCGCCCTTTTGGAAAAGGTGTATACAGTCTAAGCTCGTTAATACAGACCTTGGTTTCGACCAAGATTTCGGTCTGTTGCAAAAGGAGTATGTTGTATGCAGATATGAAGTTGAGTCAATGGCCGCATAGAGGAAAACCAACCAAACTCTACAAATCGGTATGTTATATCCAAGTGTCTGTCGTAACCAGGTCTGTTATAATGAGCTTAGACTGTAGCCGGCGATAGGTTTGAAACAACCTGATTTCACACTTAGTCTCGGGCTCATGGCTGTGATGCAATTATGGCAGGTTGCAAGTTCGCCAGAATGCAGCACATATGAAAAACATCGCTCATTACTGGTATGAGGGAAATTGGTACCCGAGTGTTTAGAATGTTGTACACTTTGATTCGTTGAATCATTCGCTCCACATGAATACGGACTTGAGCAATGTTGTACGTCTCCTCTACCTCTTGGCAACTAAACTGCCCAGCCCCTGAAAAAAAAGGAGGCATGACAAGCACAGCATTACTGCCCTCTATGCTAGCCTTAATACCTGGAAAGCCCTTGTCTGCTAATATCACGTCACCTGGCTCAACCAAGTTCAAAAACTGGGAATCTACAGTAATATGGAGGTCGGAACAGCGTCCGCCATAGGCCTTGGAATGAAAACAAATCATCCCATTTGGAGTCACTGCGACCAGAAACTTCAGAGTGTACCCTGATTTGTATGCAGAATACAAGGCACGCTGTTGAGCCACAGAGCCCGGCTCCTCTGTGCGAACTTCGGTACAATCAATGATCATTTTGCATTCTGGGTAGTGTGCCTTAAAGCACTGGGGCAGCATGGACAGGATGATTGAAGATGGTGGGCGAAAAATCCACTTTTCAGTTGCAGCAGACAGTGATGCAAGCACAGTACGAAAATGCCGTGATGCTGTGGTGCGGTGTATACAAAACAACACTGCAAGTGATGAGTAGCTCATCTCTAGTTTCATTTTCATGAGAAACAAGAGGAGCTTGTTTGCCATTGATGTGTCCACCGATCGTTCTGAACCTACAGGAAGCATGCTCAGAAGCAGGGCAAACACGGTTGTGGTCACACTGCACAAGTCCTCCAATGACGTAGGAGAATGACGGACACTCTCGTAGCCTTGGAAGCACCCTGTTCTTTGGTCAGGACCAGATTGCCGTGACGACACAGACGGCACCCTGGGGTGTGTAATCTGTGTTGAGCCGTTGCCATCTTGCAGGGTAGAAATGTAGACTGAAAACTGCCCCTTGCAGATCTCCATGTCGTCGGTCTGAGAACCCTAGAAGTATATGCATTTGTCACGATTGGTGCAAATAATAAAGTGGCATGACAAAGAGTAAGTTCATAACAATTGGGAGTTCTAGTGAGCCGTTATGAGGCAAACGGTTCCCTCCCCCCCTTCCCCCCCCCCCCCCCATTCATTAATGCAACTGTGAATGTGTGCGGAAATTGCAGTCAACTCTGGAATAGTTTGACTGGATCGTCACGGTTAGCGGTACGTGAACTAGCGTAAGAGATGAAGATTTGCCTTGCATCATGGCGGATGAAGCAGGACGAGCAATGGAATGAACATCTCAACACGGCCCAAAGAAGCTGTGGTATTGTTTCGAAGCGAAAGGTTTGTCTACAAATGATTCGCCAATCCGTGCTGTTGCACTATTCCGACGCATTTGATCTCCTCGGACTGATGGGGCATCGCGGCCGCCATCACGGGTCCGACATTGTAGACCGTGTATTTCAATAGACGCAAATAACTGGTAAAATGGCACCTTGAAGGCCATTGCCTAGTCTCTTGTTGTCGTTGTACTGCTTTACATACACATGAAATTGCCACTGGCAGGCATCGCACAAACTAAAATGAGGGGCTTTTTTTCAAGAGCTCCGAAAGCAAACGTAGAGCACAACCAAACAGTCTCTTCGAAAATCATGTACAATTACTTGAAAGTGAGCATATGTACCTACTCGCCAGCTCGATTGCACCCTTTGCGTATGCCATGGTGTTTATTTTAGGTGGACTTAATTGTGAAATTGACAAGATTATTTCAAAATTTTAAAACTGCAAAAGATGTCCTATATCATGCAACATCCCCAATAAACGCTGGAGCTTCAGCGACTTACTGTCCCCCCTTTTCTATGTATCTTCCTCATGTTTAAATCTACAAGACGTTGCCGCAGAAGTCTTTGCGCTATACTTGGTATCACCTAATGTCCGGGCACAGCGGATGCTTCGAGCCATCGGTGCCAATCCAAGGCCGTTTCACCTTATGTCCGCTGCGTCCGGACGTAAGGTGAAACGGAGTAGTGTCCCATGAGGTCCTGTAAACCACAATGTGCATGCGCATTTGTTGGTTTTTTGTTTTAGATATCTGGTTGCACATATTTTAGATAATTGTTAGGGCATTTTCGCACGCCACAGTAAAAGCAATATGTATGTGTACCCTTATGAATTCCACGTTCTGCTGATTAGAGTTCAAGAAATTCTATTAGTAACTTCAACTTGGTTGATACAGAAATCTTACCACTGAACGCTGTGCTGTTTCACTGGATTCTGCAGCACTTTCTAGCAGGCCGTCCTGCCGATCCTGTGTGCCGATAGAGTTTTGATGCCAAGCTGGGCCTGGGCTTCATAAGCATCATGAAAATTAATAAGCAGCTTGCTTAAGTCGGCAGTCAAACATCACGGTAGAAAACACATCCGGAGTCTAATTTCTTTCCTCACTGGAATATTTACTGCATAAGTTTGCATATTGTAAATATCAACAATTCGAAACACAGGCCAGGTGCCACTTCGGTCACTGCGAGGGAAGGGTAAGAGAGCTAAGGAGGTAAACTGAGCACTGAAGCGATAATTGAAACTATTTTGAGACTTTACCTGTCAAGCCCTGATGCTTGGTCCTGGAGGATCCCATCTGTTGCACTAATCTCCGGGTCATCAGTCTGATCTTCCTAAAAAGCAGACAGGTTTCCCATAATCCATGTGAATACCATAGTGATGCGACAAAGAGCCAAGTTGACAAACAATGAGCAAGACTGTGTACCCCAAGACTTCAGACTAGTGTCGCTTCAACACCTGTTGTGAACCTAACATGTAAGTGTAGTAATTACAAAAAAAAAGAAAAATGCAAAAAATAAAGTAGAAGAGCAGAGCCCACGCAGGCCTGCGGAAATGACGAGGATCTCGCATGCCGATGAGGCGGTGACCGGTGGAGCCTGGGGCGGGAAAAGCCCCGGAATGAGACCCGTCTGACACGAGTGACACTTCGAGCCGCACTGATTTACTAATGGTCAACAGCATGGGGCTGCGCACCCTGGGGGGCGGCCAGCCTGAGCGCACGGGCGCCAGTGGTTGGTTTGTGGCACCATTTATGTCGTGTAGAACGCTTTAACAAAAAATTTGAATACTACAGTGAGCACATTTGTTGTTTTTTTTTGTTTTTTTCAAAACAACCATGAAGAGCTTTCAGCTAAGTTCAAATAACAACAGCCCACTTGTGCCCCCCAGAAGTGCCCACGCCTCACTGACTTGGGTCTGACAAATCCTAATGTTACATTTGACACTTGTTGATGCAAAAGCCTTACCACGGAAGGTTGTCTCTCCTCTCTGAATTCAACGGCTGTACATAAAAGGTGCAGGCCCTCATGCCCACCTCGGCTGCCGCTGCTAGTTCGTTCCCTGCTTGTGCTTGGGATTCCAGTCAAAGATGAAGCGGGACCCCCCAGACTCGATGCTTGTCTGCTTGCTACTCTGTGATGCCATCTGCAAACAATATTAGATTGATGCGAGTCACAAACAGAACGTCCTGTAGCTATTCATGCAGTGCCCATGAAATCACGATCATAAGCTGGACGATCGCCTAACCCGGTAGCACGCTGCTTCCCCATTAGAAACATCAAATATTGAGCGGTGCCCCGAACCCCTGCAGATTTTTGCAATGACACAGGCTTTTCGATTTCGATGTACAAACAATAATCTACAAAATTGGTGTTCAAATTTCAATTGCGGTTAATATGGTCAAAAGCGAATCAGCCGGGCAAGAAGCCGTTGGCACAAAATAGTGCAAGCCACGAGGAATGACTGTTTATAATGGCAAGAGCAAGCTTGTTTGTTTTAGCAGTTTCTCATAACGAGGGCAGATCTTGGACACCGCAAATCTTAGTTCCGGTTCGATGCCGAGCAGTGACCTGTACTTTGTTTTCGTCCACGCCATCACAGAGAAGCCAAGTACATATGTCTTTTCAGTTCTCGAGGCGCTTCACGACCCCCAGCTCAAGTTTGAGAAACACTGCAGTAGCATAATAACAGTTAGCTTTAAGTACAGATGTTGTTGACTTCAAAATCAATGTATTAAAATATCTGCAATTAAAATATTCAAAAATAGTGACTTTTTTGGAGAAATATACAAGGATATCAAATTAACTACTGAAGTTCAATGATACAATAACCGCTGAAGTTATAACTAAAGCTGGTCAAAACTTCACCTGTCAAACCTTGACGCTTGGTCCTGCGGAATCACTGAACTCCTCTTGTACACTGCTGGAAAGAGTGTGGGGAGGTACGCAGGATGGGCTGCGATGTTGCTTTTGGCATTATTGACAAAATGCTCTGAACAGATCCTGGAGCTGCTGTTTGGTACCCATTCTGAGCCATCTGTGCTGCAAGAGTAATCCAAATACATAGTCACATTAATATTTTCATTGCAGGTTAACACTCGTAAGGACTCAAATACGGCACAAGGAATATCTTTTTGTAACTCTTGTTTTCATAAACTTAGTAGAAAAAAAATTCAGATGAACACAGAAAAAATTTACACAAAAGCCACCTTTTCTTCGGGAAAAAATTCCGTAGGACCATTTTAACCAATTTGGTGTCGATTAAAGACATCGCAAAGTGACAAAGTACTGCGTCAAGGCGGCAAGGAACCGAAAAAACAGGAACGTCTCAATTCGAATGTGTTACGAATTTCCTTCACCCCGCTCTGTTTGCGGCAGAAGTCTTCCTCGGGTTGCCTCAGTTTTTCTAAGTTATATATTTTTTTGCACCGATGAATTCGGAGAGCAGTCTGCAAGAATAGCAACCCGTATACTTAGTACGACCGCAGGGTTCTTCACCAAAACCCAATTTTAAGCGTCAAGCGACAGCGTACTCGAACACTGCATTATTTCGGCTTGTTGGAACACACCATTGAACGGTTATACTCACTTTACACGCCTGACAGCCGAGATCCATTTCTTACGCCGTTCCTTATCCCACGGTTGCGAAGGAAAGCGGTGCAGTTTCACGTGTCCGAGTCCCTCGTTGTTATGACAGTTCTTCACACAGCAGTACCGGTACGTCTTCCGTTTCGTCTTGGTACGGCGATTTTCGTCGTCAGAGGGTTCATTATCGGCGTGCTTACTTTTGACCGGTGCCATGAAACTTGGTACGCAGACTTAACACGAGCAAAGGACCGTAGCAGAAGTAGAACGCGCCCAACGTAAACAACGCGTACGTACGGCGATGCAAATGGCGAAGCTGGCGAGGCCAGCGAGGCAGACTTCCCATTGCTTTCGAAGTTGGGCGATAGATGGCGCGACCTGTCAGGGCAAACTCGATTGCTCGGAGGCTATTAGCCCCGAGAAGTTCGCCTGGCGCCCCCTTACGGCGAACCGGGGTGACGTCACGGCGAGGAGAGAATTTTTCCCCGACTCGCCCCGCTCACCCTGTGGAGGCTGTGACGACGCTAGCTGTCGGCGCGCTCGTTTCTATTTAATTTTTTTTTGGCGTGTTTTTCGTAGAAAGTGTAATTTTTATATATGCCTTTAAGTTGAGGTATGGCCTGTAGCTACACGCGAAACTTCAACGAACATTTTAAGCATGGCTGACAGGCCAGGCAACGCATGAACCACAGCTGGTATGTGAAAATAAAGAAATATGGCCATAATTGCAGGGGCATCACTACAGATTTACATCTCGCACAATAAACGCTGCTGATGGTCCGAATGAATTGGCAAATTATGTATACTATTTTTTTTGTATCTCTGTCTTTAAATAAGATCGCCGAAGCAGAAAAGCTGCATGCTGCTCGAGCAACGTGCTAAATACAGTCTCGGCCATGGGGAGAGAATCACAAGTAAGGCAGCCCAAGTGCAGGGGCAAAGTAAAAAAACAAACAAGGAACATTTATTGTATACATTGCTCGCACTTGACCTTTGCTAGATTCGGATAGTATTTCAATGGACTACACGGGTGGTATCTGTGGACTTGTTTATATCAATCCTCAAGTAATATATAACAAACGTAAGTTATGGTGTCTAGCTCGTTATTAGTACATTAAGCCCTAAAATTGAGATTTTACTTAAATCGAATTGTCCTGAAGCTAAAGTACCAGAAGCTTTTCTCACGCAGACTGTCGCCCTTCACAGGTTCCACAATTTCTGCTACCAGTGCTGCATCTACCACTGGACAGACGTTCGAATGCTTGCTTTTACTCCTGTTTTCCTCTGTTGTCAGAGAGTCCAGTTGCAGGGAGTTTGGAGGCTGAGGAAGCTTTTGGGGGCCTGCGGCAGTGACTCTTAAATGGAAATGACAATTCAGACTAAACGGTGTATTTTCCGAATACCAAAGGCTGGAATAAAGAATGTCAGGAAAGAGTATAAACATTCCAAATTACGGCACTATTGCTGTGCATATTTTGGGCAGTTTACGACATATCATAGAGGCAACTGGGGGAAATTCGGCCGTTTTTGCTGTTACCATACAAACTAATTTCCAGTAATTGTGAATCCTCTAAGAAATATGCCTGCATACGCGTATAAACTATATAATTGATTCAGGAAGAAGCTACATTTATGTAAAACAACCCTGTTCCATGAGCACTTCAAAGATCATCAGACGCAGGGCCTTTAAAACATCTGCAAACCAGCGCATGCAGAGTGGCAGCGCAGAGTCGGGGTCGCGAGCTAATTTGCCGACCACCGAAAGGCCCATGATATAAAGGCCGCTTCAGATACCTTGAAAGCGGGGTGTAATATCGTCCTAAATCATGAACATGCAAGGAACAGAATTCCAGCGTCTGAAACACTTGCGTCACCGCTTCACCGACCCCTCTCAAGATTGCCTTGCGTCGTGTGAATGGACGGGGAGGTTCATCGGCGTAATTGCCTCCGCCGATAGTTTTCGGGATTTGTAACCCAATTTTAAAGGTAAAAGGGACAAGCAGGCTTATAAAATGTACGGAGGCGCGTTAATATCAGCCTAACTCAACGTCTTGTACACCGAGTAAACGAAGTCCGGCTCCTCGAAGAGCATTGCGGCACACAACGCCAAACCAGGAAACCGGTGCTGGGAAGCGACCCGATGCGAGATCGCGGAGCGGGGTACTCGCGCTGACGTCACGGTACACCTCACCCAGTCAGGGCGCGGCGGCCGCAGCGACGCTTGTGTTCGCTCTCGGGGCTAATAGATCCGTCACCGCGAGCGTTGCATTCTGGGAACCTGCGGGCCAGGAGTTGGGCGCGTTTCTATTTTGCTGGCCACTGATTCCCAGAATGCGTAATGTGACATTGCTCCGTGACGACGCGTTTCAAGTTTGAGAATGAGTCTATTGGATGAAGTCTCCGTCAAGCAGAGGCTCCTTTGATATAAGTAGAGCTGCAACCGTCAACTGCGGTAATGTTAAAACGGGGTAACCGACTGGGGTTTAAATTTCTTGCTCGGTGACACCGCTAGGAGACGACTGGTGGTAAGTCATAGTTGACCGGGAGGGGATCCGGCCAACACGTCGAAAGCCAACTCGTCAACGGCCAACTCGTCGACGGCCAATTCGTCGAATAGGGCAATTCGTATTAGGGCAATTCGTCGAAGGACAACTTGTCGAAAGGGGAAATTGGTCGAAGGGCGATTCGTCGAAAGGGTTGAATGACGGTCCAAGGTCAAGTATCGTGGTTTCTTCTTTCATCTTTTGGCCTATATTTTTATTCCAGTTTGGACTATGGACAGCACCTTCGATAAGTTACAAGATTGAAAGAAAAATAACAAGAGGGCGAAGACAGGAGAGAACTTTTAGACAAGCTCAAAAATGTGTCATCTCATGATCGTCCTTTTGTTACGTTGCTTTATTACTTATTTTGTAATGAGCCGCCGCAGACTGTCGCCGCGAAGCGGCGTCAACTGATGGGCCGGGTAGGTTAACACGCGCCCCAGTGATACACGAGCGACGTAGTGATTGCGCACCACTGCACCGTGAAAGTGGCGAAAGCGGCCAGTTGTTATAATAGAAAAGAAAAGGGTAGAGAGGACGCCAGTTTTTTCTTAAGGAGAGCGCCTATTGTTCACGTTTGTTTTTACGAAAGAATTACACATAAAAAACGGAACGCGGATTATTATAGGGCAGTATTTGCTTTAAAAGTTAAGGAAAAAAATTATATATTTGGCTTTAAAAAACGGCGACCAGTTGGCCTCTTCGACAAGTTTGCCTTCGACGAGTGGCCCTATGACGAATGGGCCTATTCGACGAATGGGCCGCCGACGAGTTGGCCTAGACCCGTTACAACTATGTTTTGCTATTGTCTGGCAATATATGTCGGTACAGTAAGATGGGCATAAATCAATTCTTATTCTTGTTTTGGCTAGATGTACAAGACTTCCACAGCTTGGCGATTTAGACAATGAAGAATTTTAGCAGATCGTCCCGATGAGTCCGATAACGATACCCGATACCCCGCCGCCGCCTTTGCGCATGCATCATATCGTTATTGGGGGCATCGGAGGTATCGGAACCATCTACTACAACTCTCATACATCAGGCAACGGCTGCAACGACAAAGCTTTGTTCTATCTTCGAGGTAAATAGTACTTTTATTGCTTCGCCGAAGAAGCTCAGTGCAGAGAATGAAGCTGAGGAACCATACGGGACTCCCATCCGGTGCCTCAGTTCAGGGGGTGTTCAGCGTAGCAGTCGACACCAGTTGTTATAATAGACAAGAAAAGGGGAGACAGGAGGCCAGTTTTTTCTTAAGGAGAGCGCCTATTGTTCACGTTTGTTTTTACGAAAGAATTACACATAAAAAACGGAATGCGGATTATTATAGGGCAGTATGTGCTTTAAAAGTTAAGGAAAAAAATTATATATTTGGCTTTAAAAAACGGCGACCAGTTGGCCTCTTCGACGAGTTTGCCTTCGACGAGTGGCCCTATGACGAATGGGCCTATTCGACGAATGGGCCGCCGACGAGTTGGCCGTCGTCGAGTTGGCTTTCGACGAGTTGGCCTAGACCCGACCGGGAGACGTGTCGATGAGTTTGCAAAGGCCCATACGTTCGGTCAAGGATCTTTTTCTTATTTCTGAATTTGACCGTTCTCGACCAAACTGACCAGACTCGCTAGGGGTGGTGGTGTGAATATTGGCTTTAAGAAGTTTGGATCATGCTCCAAAATATATTGTGTTTCTGATGTCGATGTGCTATAGATTCAAATTCAACTGAATTTGGCAGCTGTGTATTGGCAGGTGTTTGCTATCGTGCACCCCATGGTAATCGCACAAATTTCGATAGTTCACTCTACCATCTCATTCGAACTGTAACGAACAATCTTCGATCTGATCACAGCGTTTTCGCTGGCGATGACAACTACCCCAAAAAATTCGGCAGAGTCACTTAAGACGGCTACGTGTAGGAATGTGAAAGCATTCCTAGACGCAGCGCATTCTTACAAGCAGCGTGCCACGTCATCCAATCGCACACGGCGCTCCAGCGGTGACATCACGCTCCCCAACTGCGCAGACGCGGCGATGCATCTGAATTGCTCTGCTTTTCTTTGTGTTTTATTTCTGAGACCCGTCGGCTTTGACCTTGAGTGCCCCCGTCGGCTTCCGTGACGAAGCATCTGCGTTGCGGTGCTTTTTTTGTGTTTTATTTCTGAACGAACGTGCTTCATCACCAGCATTTATGTGCCGTTTCGCACAGCCAACGGGCATTTAGGTGCCGTTACACACAGCCAATGGGATTAGGTGCCGTTTTTCGCGGTTACAGACAACGCCGGCTGCGTTCTGTGAGAGAGGTAATGCTTTCGCATTAATAAACTGGTCAATAATGCACCTTCCCGACTACGCAAACTTTCGGAAGTGTAAAAAGGTGTTTGTATATATATATATATATAATATGTGAGTATGTCCTAAAAATACGGCAACCCGCAACTACGCTATATTAAATTTATTCCCTAACATGTCTTTCACTATTCTAAAAAATATAAGTGACCGCACAGTGATTTATCTAGAAACGTTACAAAATGTAAAATGACCCGTAAATAGTCTGAAAAATATTGGCTTAGGCGCCAATATCAGAGATCTGTCATCGGCAATAACGAATTTTCTAAAATTCGAGCGGTCTGCAAGCAGACTTGTGCCAGTCACTCGAAAAATGTAATTGACTATAATTTCAAATTACCGAGCCTCAAATACAGTTGATTACCGTTAGAAATCACTTTTACCGAGAAGTAACAG